CTAGGGGCCAAGCACTAGGGGCCAAGCACTAGGGGCCAAGCACTAGGGGCCAAGCACTAGGGGCCAAGCACTAGGGGCCAAGCACTAGGGGCCAGGCACTAGGGGCCAGGCACCAGGCAAATTGACTGGTTGTGAGGATGGTTTTGCCCACCTGGTTTGACAATCTGGCAGAAAGTTCATCTTATAAAGAAGTTCAGTTCAAAAAGTTTTGTCTGCCTGTGAAAACCAGTTGCCCTCCTGTTGAAAACATTAATGAAATCCCTGAGTTTGTCTAACCATCAAGAGCTTCTTGAGTTCCCCAATCATTTCATTTATTCTTAAAACTTAAATGTTTGATTCAGAGGTGATACTGTTGGACAAATAAGATCTTTAAGGGATTGAAGGATAAAACATAATGTTTTTACACTTCCTGACATGCCTTCTTGTACAGAGGGATGCTATGCAGTACACAATTTGTATATGGGTATTTTTATATGTAATAACATGATTTCAAGTGTAATTTGGTGAAAATAAGCACAAGTGAATTTTTCAATGACAACAAAAGTGCATGAGCCCATTGGATCTGCCCCCTGGAATAATGAGTATGAAAATAGTTAGAAAACATGCTAAGAAGTAAACTCAAGACATTTTACATGACTGCAATACAGGAATATCTGACAAGCAAGGATATTAAGAAAAATAAACTCTTGCTTGGTTTGTGTTTGCAGAGTTATGAAGAAACCATAACAGTTGATAACACCGCAGAAGGTAAATACAATTTACCGGTAAATTTTATGGTGTGAAAAAAACAAGAACTTGATTCAATTGAAGAAAATGTCCAAATGTAGCTCGGTGAGAGTAAGATACTCACTGAAGATTGAGTGGTGATTTTTAAAGCTTTTCTACATTTTGAATCAAAATTTCTTTGTTTCATAAAAAATTCTCTCAATTTTAAAGTTTGTGAACACTGCTTAAAAGAATATACTTGATGTGTATTGCTTTTAACAGTAAACCAACATTGATTTATTGATTGGACCTCTAACTAAATGCCCTTTCTTCCAGATCCCAACCCACCACTAGACATCACTGCAGAAAACAAAAATATAATGTCAAGGGATGAAGTAAGTGTCTTTTCGTTTAACTTTGATTTATCCCAACGAGAATAAACCTTGCATCGATTGATAATATCTATGTTATGGTCCGGCAATTTTTCTTTTGCTCTAAAATTTCCAAAACAGTTTGTAAAATTGTTATTTACCTTTTTCATTCATCCATAACATATACCTTGAACATTGAAATGTCTAACTAACACGAAGCATAGCTGGTACTATTTTGGGGACTTTATAAAAAAAAAAAAGGTTGCTGAACCACAGAGATCAGAAGCAGAGGTTTGAGCAGGGAAATTTTCTCATTCCTTTGGCTCGTCCAATAAAGAACTCCTAAAAGACAACCAGCTACAAAAGGTGGTTTAAAGGTAATAAGAGATACAGTGGCTCACTACAGAGTGGGTGCAAAAGACTCGATAGTGCATTACAGGGAGAGTAGATCACAAGATAGTGTGGGCACAGGAATTTGAAATATTCTCTAACTCCAATTATTAAAAACTGGATTATTTGATAATGCAATTCATGACTTTTTATTGGCTTAGCCATTATGGTATATTAGCCAATATACCATAATCTAATATTTGTACATTGTAACATCCGGTTTCTTCTTATAAAATAAAGGCGAGAAGATTTGTCTAATATCTTGGGGGCGTTTTTTTAATAAAACAATTATTCCACTCGCGCTTGTTGGATATGAGATGATTATAGCCAACTCGGCGCTACGCGTCTCGTTGGCTATCTATCATCTAATATCCAACGCGCGCTTATGGAATAATAGTTAAATATCTGATTATTTTCCCTCTAAGCTCCCATAGATCTCATCTTCTCTTTGCTGGATTGTTCTATTGATCTTTTAAGGAGATACTTCCTGTTGGTCATGTCTGGGTCTGAAGAGTTAAACTGGACCAAAGAGAGTTTGGGTTTAGTTCTTTCTCTAACTGAGAGATCCCTCAGATTCAACTAAAAACTCCCTTTAGCGGCAGAAAATTGTAAACGATGGTTTAGTACAGTTTGTCTCTTTGATACAGTTGATGAACCTCAACAGTAATGTCGAATTTGGTCAATGGAGCAATGTTAATTCGAGTGTCGAAATAATTCAAATATTGCTTTGAATTTCGGCTTTCCCTTCGCTGTGACTGTCCCAGAAAACTTGTGCCACTTTTTCAAACAATGAGATCCAAAAGTAGCACCGTTTGCGACTTGGTCACAGGCATTTTCACCATGAATTCTCATTGGCTCGTTGATATTTTCCTTTGCTCTGATTGGCAGTTGTGTTTACTATTATAGTTTTGATTTACAACACTCAATTGAAAATTTCTCCCATGTGTTTTTTGTTCCTTTGTAGGAGTTATACTATGAATTGGAGCAATCAAGATGGCAGCCTGTAGAAACACTTAATTCAGGACACAAATCTCTTATGACATAGATTACTGGGAACTTTTAGCGTTATAGTATTGGATTGTTAACAGTTCCTAGTGTTTAAGGTACTTTGACGCTGCAATTTAATGTCAAACCCCAGAGATTTTTCTAGTTCTCAAATTGTAGACAACACATTTTAAGCCTATTAAATGTTGGAGACTTATTTCTTGTCGAGACCACTCAAGACGATTTTATTGCCAAAGTTTTGTTTGGCACCTCTCTGCAAAGCTACTGCTATGGTTATAGTAGAAGTTTTCCTGTTAAGTTCAAACTTGGTTTTCTTTAAACAACAAACATATGAAATACATATATATGAACTGCGGTTATGAAACGTATATGTGCACGATCCTTCGCAGTAAAGCACCATTTAAGCAATAGTGAAAATCAGACCTGAAAAAAATTCAGGCCTGTACGGGATTCGAACCACTGACCTCTGCGATACTAGTGCAGCGCTCTACCAATTGAGCTAACAAGCCAACTGGGAGCAGGCCATCAAATTAATTCGACATAAACCCGTAAGATGATAAATCAAACAACAAACATGAAATACATATATATGAACTGCGGTTATGAAACGTATATGTGCACGATCCTTCGCAGTAAAGCACCATTTAAGCAATAGTGAAAATCAGACCTGAAAAAAATTCAGGCCTGTACGGGATTCGAACCACTGACCTCTGCGATACTAGTGCAGCGCTCTACCAATTGAGCTAACAAGCCAACTGGGAGCAGGCCATCAAATTAATTCGACATAAACCCGTAAGATGATAAATCAAACAACAAACATGAAATACATATATATGAACTGCGGTTATGAAACGTATATGTGCACGATCCTTCGCAGTAAAGCGAAGGATTTTCTTTGTTTTCAGTTGGTATTGTTTTGTAAGGTAGTGTGTTTCGCAAATGGGAAATCAAATTGCAACAATGAAATCGTTGAACTAGAACATGGGAATCTGAAGGATCTTACAGCAGACTGTCTGCCACTCAATGTTATGTTGTGCATCGGGAAGGCTCTTTCAAACAATATATACATAACGCAGTACTGAAACACTTTGTCACAATTTTTGGAGGAGATTGCGTCAAATAATAAAATGCGTTATTTGGTTTCCAGTTTTGCTCAGATATATTTGCAATGGGCGTTGTCCTCTGGAACTCCTTTTTGGCTCATACAGGTTACCTCACCTCCGTAAACACACTTAAATAATGTACAACGTTATTTATTTATGCAATTATTTAGGTCGTTACTTTTCTTTAAAAATATTTCTTTAAATAAAAAAAAAGTATAACAAGTGAAAATCTGGTTTAAAACAGAACTCGGCCAAAGTTTTTCAAGGCAACGGTACATTTAAATTCCTAACAAAATCATTAATTTAGTCTTATGTGTTGTTTGATATATATGCCTACACACTCTTCTCTGAGAGTAATGTGACCAAATAGTACGAACAAGGGTCTTTTCATAGAAACGCGTTGTGACGTATTCGAGCTTGAGTGAACTCTTAACAGGAACTTGCTTCTTGGTGATAATAACCACCATTTTTTTTACTATTTTCGCAGCACACGAGATAAACATGCAAAGTTAAATTTAAACCGTTTTGTACGGCGATGAGTCTTTGAATACCACCAGTAGTATAATGTGGATAATCCTTCAACGTTACAAGATATATACACTCCGCCTACAGGTAAAATGCTAGTGATATCTTTCAAAGACTAGACATCTCAACAAGCAACTGTAACAATCCATGTGAAGCACAATCAGTTGGACGCCAGACAAATATAAGTGTTATAAATCGAAACGCTTCTCGGAGGGAGATAAGGTGCGTATTTTGGCAACCTCTTCAGACGACCTCACCAGATGACGGTCCACATACTCATCAACGTTCAGAAGATACACTCCCGAGGCACGTTCACTACGAAGCGAACGACGTCGCGATGCTGAAACTACTGGTTCCGAACGGACTGAACTTGGAGAATCGATCCCGCTCTCTTTGGATGGGTTTCGATGCAAAGGAAACAAGGATTCCACGACGTAATGTGAGGTACTAGAACCCCCGCTAATACTTCCGTGAGCACGTTTCTTATGAGCGAGTCCTTGCTCTTGTGAAATACGACGCAAAGTTGCATCGTTAGGTACAGAAGCGAGTTCGGTCGTTATACGTGACACATCAATAACACTAAAGGGATCCGCTGACTTTTCATGCGTTCCATTGGCTGTTGACGTCCGTGGATGATTAACCCGTGGATGCGTGTATTCGTGGCTAAGTTTACGAAGCCAACTAGTATCCAAGTCGACTTTTGAATTGTAGAGTGACGACGGCGCGTTATCCATCGCAGTGAGTTTACTCTTTGTTATTTCTTCCTGGTACGCCCCTCCTACTGGTTGTACTGGTGGAAACTTTTGCGCATCTGTAGCATCATTTGCTTGCAGTACAGCCCCACTTGCCGATATCTGTCTTAATTCTTCTTCAAGCCTTCGTCCCCAGTCCTCCTCAAAGTTTTCGAAGCCTTCAACGGACTGCACACTGTAAAGTTCAAGATCAGAATCGTCGTCTCCCAATTCGATATCCCAAGAATTCGAGTCGTTTGCGAGACCAAGATCCGCGTCCGAATCATCCGAAAGTTCCAGCTTTGGGATGTGGACTTCCATGCGGCTACTTCCAGTTTGCTCCCTTTTCTTCGAAAATGAACGTTTTGACTTTCCGTACCGCCAAGACTCACGAGTGTCTGAAGTCGCCGCTCGATCGCTTAATTGCTTTCCATCACGTGAAGAATAGTCACCCATTTGGATGGGCGTCGATGAACTAGTGGTCCACCCATGAGATCTCACTCCTTCTGCTGGTAGTTGGCTCGCCGGAGGGAAATTAACACATGATCTTGAATCTGCACCTCCTGCTCTACTGGTAGTTCTGGGGGAAGGTTGACTGAGCAGGATATTTTCAACTTCGTCACGTCTCCTATTTTCGTCTAAAATTTCTCTTTCTCTTTTCAGTTGGATCTCCTTCTCTTTCAACCGTCCCATCCATTTCCTCTCCAGATCTCGCCTTTGACTGGACAGCTCGCTCTCGAGCTTCTCTTTCTCCTTCATCTCCTTTTCCAATATTTGCTTCTCTTTGGAATGCTTCTCCAATGCTTGTTTTTCACGTGTTATCCTTGCATTAAGGTCTTCCACTTGTCGACGCTTTAGCGCTAAAAGCTCCTTCTCACGTCTGATATTCTCCTCGATGATACTCTCATAACACTTTGATTTCGCACTGTCTGAGTTATTACTGCTGTTTTGAGGACTGATTCCCGCCAATTGTCTAGATAGCTTTTCTTCTACCGCTCGGTGCTTTTCTCTGAGCTGCCAAAGCCTTTGTACCAGGACTCTTCTTTGTTCTTCCAGGTGCTTCAGTTGGCTTTGCAGCATTTCCTGTAGCCTAAGATCTGTAAATTCAGTGGAGTCCAGCATTTTCTTGATTTCGCTTATCATAGTTTCAGTCTCTTGAGCATGGTTTTTGATATCCTCTTCTTGTTTCACTTTGTTCTCCCTGAGTTCGTGAAGCATTTCCACCAGGCCGTCCCTGCTAAGATGCTTTTCAGGTGATAATGATACTGACATAACAGTGCTGTTGTTTACGGAGGCCTTGCTTGTATCACCAAGGACTCCGAACTTTGTTTTCAAATCTAAGATTTCCTGTCGTAGTTTCAATTCCAGAGTGTTTTTCTCCTTCATCAACTGCTCCATGAGTTTGATGAGTTGTAGGACATGAGATCCTTCACTAAATGCTGTTGACTCTCGAAGTCCGTTCATTACATAAGGTGATGGCCTGTTGATTAGTTTCTTCAGGTTTTCATTTTCCCGTTTTAATCTTTCATTTTCAAGTTGCAACTTTTCTATTGTCTTCTGACCACCGCCCAACGAAGCTCCTCGTGACTTGGCTATTTGTTCTCGAAGCTTTTGGTATAGTTCGGAGTTTTCTCGTCGGAGCTTTTTTAGGTCTTCAGTAGCCTTCATCAAATCCTTTTGATACCCGAATACTTCTTCTTTACATGTATCGATGCGGTCTAGAAGAGTCTTCAAGTCCCTGTGAAGACCCTTTACCTCCAAATCTTTCTTCTTCAGTAGCTCTTCGCTTTCAAAAAATTTTGACTGGTACTGTTGGTGAAGGGCGTTTCTATGTTCTTCCATCTCGTCTTGTTTCTCCCGTAGGACACGTTGAAACTTGTGATCAAATTCTGCTCGTAATGTTCCTAAGTCTTGCATGTGCTCTTCAGTGCGTGTTTTGGACGCGTTCTGTTGTTGCACCAAGTCTTGTAGCTTTTCCATGAGCTTTTTTAGTTCTCCAGAGTGTTCCTTATTGATCTGGTCTTCCCGTTGTCTAAATTGTCGGTCCAACTCGTTTTTTGTTAAGTCAATTTCTTGTTGGTGAGCGTTTACAGTACTTTGCACCTCTTCCTTGAGACTTTGAACTTGATCATTGAGATCGTGGTTTTCAACTCTTAAAGACGCCAACATTACCTCGTAACCAAGCTTCATGCTTTCTTTATCTCCGTTTTCTTCGAGAGGTTCTCTCTCGGCAGACAATTTCTCAACTCGAGATGACAGCTGAACCACTTCAACACCCACTTGTTCTTTCAACCTCTCACATTCCTGAGTTTTGTCCAGCAGTTGTGCTTGAAGACGTCCCAACTCTGCTTCGTGCTGATCAGTAAAGGTACCCAACTCTACTTGGGATTCTTCTAATTTAAATTTTAATTCCTCGATCTCTGTTTCGCGTTCAGTTTTTGTCGTTTCCAGTTGCCGAATTCGTTCCTGCAGAGTCTCGTTTATGATCTCAATTTGCTTCTTATGTTCACCTTCCAAAGATTCTTTCTGAGAGACCATTTCTTTGTCATGCTGGGTTTGAAGATCGGCTTGGAAAGCGCTTTCAAAAATAAGTTGATCTTTAAGCGTTTCTATCTCCTTTTCATACTCCTCTTTCAGTCGTTCCTTCTCTTTTACTGCCACTTGAACTTCACCTTTGACATTTTTTAATTGCGTCTGATACTGCTCTGACAACTTGGATTCTAATTCAATCAAATCAGCCTTGTGCTTCTCCACGAGGAAGTTAGTTTCGCTCTTGATCTCCTCCAGTTCCTTTTCCTTAGTGTCGACTTTCTCTACCAAGTGATGTTTTTCTTTCTCGAAACTCGTTTCTAAATTAGCCACCAGGGCTTCATGCTTGCTCGCCTGATCTGTCATGAGAACCTCATGTTCTTCGTCTTTCAGTTGATTCAACTGTTCCAGATTTTCTACCATACCTTTCAAAGATGCTACCTCTGCTTCAATCTCTTCGCGGCTTATTCGGTGTTCATCCTCCATTTTGGCGAAAATATTTTCATAATTTTTCTTCAATTGCTTTGTTGTTTCGTCGTATTCCTGTTTCAGGTCGTTCTTTATACGTTCTAGACTGTGCACGTACTCCGAGCTCTGGTTTTCCATGAGTACCTGCATCTCTTTCTCTAATCTAGATACCTTCTCTTTTTCTATGCTGAGCTCTTGGCCAACCTCTTTTATCGTCTCTTCGTGATTCACTATTGTGCTTTCTTTTTCAAGCACAGTGCTGTCCAATTCTTGTACCTTGGTAATATGATTGATCACTTCTTCTTTGCTTTCCTCCAAAGCTTTCAGTGTGGCTGCTTTTTCATTCTTTTCAGTTATCAGCTCATCCTCCAACATTTTTCTCTTCTCTTCAAAGGCTTCTACAAGTCTTTTACTGTCGGCGCAAACTTCGTCCAGCTTTCCTTCCAAATTCGCCCTTTCGCCACTAAATTGTTCTAACAAGTCAGCAACTCTCTTTTGCAAGGCGTCTCTTGATTCAACCTCATTGCTAAGCGTACTTTCAAGACTTTGAATTGACAAACCATGTTGTTCCTTTAGTCGTTCATTTTCATCACGAAGGTTTATCACCTCATTCTCCAATTTCGCTTGCTCGATAGCAAATTGTTGGGTGGTCTTTTTCAAATTTTCCTCGGCAATGCTAACCCTCTCAGTTGCCTCCTCTAAGTCACTGACCAGAACTTCGATTTTCTCGTCGTACATATGAACGACAGCTTGTTTTGCAGCATCGAGGTTTTTAACCATAATTTGCAACTTTTCCTTCTCCCCAAAGGCATCGTCTAACTGTTTTTTCAGGGAAGCTGTCTCAGTCTCCAGTGCTGAAAGATTTTCCTGATGTTCCTTTTCACTTTCCTCGATACGAGCTAATAGATGTTGGACTCTATCGTTGGAATTCTTCATCCTTTCCTCGTGCGTTTCAACCACTTTGTTGATGTCGAGTTCATTCTTCTCTCCCATCTTGTTAATTTCTTCCTGCAATCTGGTGACCTCCTGTTTTGCGCAGCTGAGTTCATTCTCTAAGGACTCGACCTTCTCTTTATATTCTCTCAGAGACTGTTCCCGTTCCTTCTCACTTTCTTCGTCCTCCGTTTGACCTTTCACCTCTTCTCTGTTTTCAGCATTCGATAACTTTTCTTCAAGGCCGCTGATTTTCTTTTCGTACTCTTCCACTCTCTCTTCAAGTTTAGCCGCCTTGGCCAATTCCTCTTCCAGGTTGATGAACTTGTCTTCCATTTCTTTCAATCGTTCGATTTCCTCTGTAAGAACATCACACTCTTCTTGCGAAGAGCTAAGCTTTCTGCTGAGGTCTTCATTAAATTTCATGAGTTCCTTTATTCTGGTTTTCTCAGCAACAAGGTCTTCGTACAACACTCTGAGTTTCCCTTCGTATTCATCTTTAAGTTTTTGTCTCTTTGCAGACGATTCTCTTGACAGCTGTTCTCTTTTCCTGGCGATCTGTTCTTCGAGTTCCGCTTTCAAATTTTCCAGCTCTTTCTCGTGCTGGCTCAAAAGAACTCCAAATTTGTTACATCCTTCGTCTTCAAGTTCTTGTATTATACGTTTTTGCTCCTCTGTAAGTGCCTTAAGAGCTTCCATTTCTTCCTGGTACTTTTGCTTCTCCTCTTCAAAGTCAAGAAATTCGGTGCCTTTAGAACCGTATAGTATTTCTACCTCTTTTTGAAGAGCTTTAATCTCTTGTGAAGAGTTAGAATTTATTTCTTCTAGTTCTTGAATCTTAGTTTTAAGCGTCTCGATCTCATCTGTCAGTTTTGACACCTCCCGTTCGTAAGTTTCCTTCTCCCTTTCCAGCTTTCGTAGCTGCTCTACTTCTGCGCTAAGATTTCGCAAGACGTTTAATTCCGACATCAAGCTCTCCACATCAGTTGCATGTTGATCATCAGAAATTTTCTTGGTTTCTTCGAGATGTTGAAACTTTCCTTCTGAAACATCTAGCTCTTTCTTGATTTGTTGTAACCGTTCTTCTAAACTCTGTTTCTCCTTTTCAAACAGTTCCTGGCTCTCGAACAATTTCTTCTGTAACGCGGAGATTTCTTGTGCGTCGTTGTCTCTGGCTTTTCTGTTAGCACATTCTTGATCTAATTCTTTGGTCTTAAGCTGTTCAAGTTCAGTTTGTAAGTGAGTTACTTTTTCTTCTAGGCTTTTTATCGTTTTTGTCAAACTTTGAAACTGTTCTTCACGGCTATTAGCTGCGTTCATCTCTCCTTCCAGTTTGGCTCTCAAGCTCTCGAGTTCTTCGTTGTGTTTGTTGTCCGATGCTCTTTTAGCCTCCCGCAACTCGTAACAAATGTGTCGAGAATCCTCCAGGTCTCTTTCTAGATCTGCAATTTTTCCTTCCAACTCCTCGATAAATTTATTACCCATTTCTTGCTTTTTCTGCTCAAGCTCGGGGTACACATCCTTCGCAGATTCCTGATGTTGTGTAAGTTCCGAAACATTGCCAGTCAATTTATCTCTGTCGTTCTCAAGATTCTCCATTTTGCTTTTCGTCAACTCTAGCTCGGCTGTCACTGTGCGTATGGTGGACTTCAACTCATTCACTTCCGTTTCATGCTTTTCCAAAAACGTTTTTTTCTCCTCTTCGAGACTTGCAGCTTTTTTAATGTAAATGTTAACTTCTTCTTGGAGAGTTTTTATTTCCCCATCTTCCATCTCCTCGTACGTTTTCTTCAAATTGGCCAGTTGGGCTTCGTAGTTTTCCATCAAGGACTTCTTACCGTCCTGTAATTCCTGCAGCTTGTTCTTGTATAGCTCGAGTTCACTTTTAAGAGTGACCAAGTATTGTTCCTCGATTCCTTTATCCTCCTTGTATCGTCCTTCCACCTCGTTCATCTTAACCTGCAACTCTGACAGATCGCGTTCGTACTTTTCAGAGAGCGACTTATTTTCTTTTTCCAGTTCCAAACACTTATCTTTGTAGGGCTGCAGTTCCTCTTTGACTTCAGATAGCTGTCTTTCAAACTGCTCCTTCTGCTGTTCCTCAAACTGCTTCTTCTCTTGCATAAGAACTTCCCTAGTCCTCTGTTGTACTTCGTCCATTTGAACCATGATTTCCGACACTTGTCGTTCGTATTTATCCTTGAGAGTCTTATTACTCTCTTCCAACTCACACCTCGTTTTTCCAATGTCTTCTTCGTACAACCTTCTCCAATGTTGTTCACATTTGTTCAACTTCTCATTCAGTTCACTTTGGTATCTCTCCTTTAATTCGTTGGACTTTTTCTCCACGAAAGCCTTACATTGTCGTCGCATTTCCTCCTCTATCATTTTCAACTCCTCCTGCTTCTCGGTCCTGAACGCTTGCACTTGCGCCTCTACTGTGTCCATCTGATGCTGATATTCGAAAACTTTTTCTTTCTCAGTGCGTAACTCTTGCTCTAAGCTCTCCACTTTAGACCGACATTCCTCTTTGATTATAACAACTTCCTGTTCCGTGGTGTCTTGTTGGATGACAGATCTTCGGCGCTCTTCGGAAAGCTCTCTTAATTTCCCCAAGAGCTCGGCAACTTCTTGAGAATGACTGTCTCTCAGGCCTTGAATCTGGTCCTCCATGTCTGCTGTCACTTGGTCAAGATCGTTTTGGTATTGGCTCTTCAACTGACGTTGCAAAGCTGCAATCTTCTCCTCATATTCGCCCTTTTGCCGCTCTAGTTGCTGCTCCCAGTCCTCTTCCATTTTAGAGAGACTGTCATCCAATTCAGCTTGATACTCCTCACTTAGTTTCTTGGCAACTTGTTCGATCTCTTGTTGATAATGGGAGTGAAGCTCTGCTCGGAGTGCTTCCATTTCGGAAGTGTCACTCTCTCCACTGTGACTCAGGGCAATAACTGACTTCACATTCGTAGAGTTATTTTCCTCACTGTGTTCCTCCACTTCGCCATTATGCACTCCACTATTTGCACTGGCACTGTCGTTGTTGTTTCTTTCTGCATCGTTTAGTTTTTCTCGGCGTATCTTTTCTTTCAGTTCTTCTACTTCCGCATTGGATTTTTCGAGCTGCGATATCATGTCGTCCATTTCTACTTGATGTTGATACGTGAGGCGATCTTTCACCGCCATAATTTCAACGCGATACTTCGTCCGCTCCTCTTCAATAAGAGTTTCTGTGTCGTTTTCACGTTTTTGAAGCTTCGTCTTTAATTCAGCGATCTCTTATAAGTGTTTAAGGCCAGATTCGCTGTTGTTCGAGTCTTCGTCGTTACACCCTCCACCCGTGCCCTCTTCATTGCTTTCTATCCGGGCTCGTAACTCCTCAAGTTCCTTCTCGTACTGCCCTCTTACCTCGTCGAGGCGCACCTCGATAAGTTTCTCAAAATCAGTCTCCCCATTCTTTAAACGAACCCGAAGACTTTCGGTCTCTTCTTCGTGTCTGTCAAGTTCCTTTTCTAGCTCCAATTGTGCTTCGACCAGCTTCTTCTGCAGGTTACCGATGTGATAGTTCTTGTCTTCAATTGTAGACCGTAACTTTTGCATCTCTTTCTCGTATTCCGCTTTTAACTTGGCAGGACTCCCAGGGTCTTCGGAAGCTGAAGATTGATTCAAGTGCTCCGAAAAGCTTGTCGATAACACCAATAGTTCCTGTGCGTGTTCAGCGTTCAGCTCTTCAATTTGATGTTCAAGTACTTGAACCTCTTGTCTCAGAGTGTCCCTTTCTTCAACCACCTACATGACAAAAATACAAAATTAAAGGTACAAAGTTAGAGCAAGTCATCCTTCGAAGAACTCGTAACTTTTTCCGTCTAAATACATTGACAACATATACAAGTAGCAAAGACAAAAGGAAAAATTCCTTCCATGTTGGCCTACGGAGCTGTGAGATTTGTCCCTGATGTTTTTATTTGTGCCTTACTGAACATAAGTGAAGGAAAATCAGTCAAATACTAAAGAGTGACACATCTGTTGACAATGGCATCTCTAATCAGGGTACAGGTGGTTTGCAACCAATCTCCAGAGACACAGGTAACAACGATGAAAGGAACAAATGCTGGTGGACGAACAAAAGGAGCTAATGAGATGTCTATTGTTTACGTCCACCAACATGGCGGCGATGACGTAACGTGCAAACCACCTATTGAGCACTTGCAAGCTGTAAAACGAAAGTTATTACCACACTCACAGGTGACTTTTAGCTGGGAGGGGGCAAGAGTCTCGTTAAATCATTGTTAAATTTACCAATGTCAGGCACAGAAGTGACAACCATTCAAAATACACATAATTATTTTGACAATTATTTTGACAATTATTTGACCTACCTTTTCAAATCCTTTCAGCTTTAATTTTAGTTTTGAAATCTTTTTCTCCATGTTTCGTTTTCCTGTAGACCCAGAAGACTCGCCAGATTGGTCCTCTTCAGTGGATATTAATCCTCCACTGTCACTGTCATCCATTTTGAGACTCAATTGTCACTAGAGAGCAAAATAGACACCAAGACCTTGTCAGAAAAAAATGTACAAAGGGTAACACATTCTATAAGGGAGAAGATAGTATAATTGCATTCAAACAAAAACTAATTAAACGGTTGCTATATTCAACCTAGAAAATTGATTTTAAAATAACTCTTTTGCATCTTGACAACATCCAGAAATTCCTTTCAGATTCACTTTTACATTTGATAAAGACAAACTTGAAAATGCATCATGCCCTGGTTCCACTTTAGGAAGTGGTGATTTTGACCAATTCCTTCAAGTATTTAGTAGAATCATAGTTAGTAGAGGGGACTGGTTATGAAAGTCCCCTCTACTAACTATAGAAGAATTCAACTCTTGCTGCTTTGAGCAATAAATTAATCAACAAAATGTACTCAACAGTTGATATTTGTTGTACGTACATGCTCTGCCAATTATCTCAGAGCTTCTGGTAGTCTTAAAACACCCAAAATTTTGAATCGTGTGAAATTATCTTTTCAAAACACTTTAAAATATTTTGAACCTGGAACCTACAGTCAATTGCTTACTGCAATAGTCCAAAGTAGGGAAATCAAGAAAATTTTGTCAATGACAAATGGCTGGCACTCTGAAAATCTGAGTGGAAAGTGGTCATCAAAGTCAAGTGAGGATTCTTTTGTCAGTGGCATGATTAATGGTCTAATTCGAAGTGACTTATTGGTCAGTTTCCTATGATATTAACACTTGCAAGACTCCAGTTGCTTACATCAGTTGAAGTCATCTTAATTTCAGTATAGTTTGGCTATTCTGATTGGTTCATCAGTTAACTTGTTTGTAAGGTGCCGGCCAGAAATTGATGCCAATATCCTTAGATTTCTAAACAGTCATTGACAAATTCAAACAGCACAGTGTAATGTTGTTTATAGCTTAACAAATTGCAAACGAGAACAAACAATTTGGCCCCAAAGAATAAGTCTGAATATTTCTCCAAATATCACAGTTTGACCATGGTCAGAATCTAAATTTTGCATTCAATCTTCAGGTAAATTAGCTGACACAATCCAAGACTATAGAATTGTATATAAACAACCTTTATTTTGTGGGACAATTTGCTTTCTCTTTTGTCTGTAAACTGAAAATTGACCTAATTTAAAAATTTGGGAATATCACATAGATGTTTACTTTCAAGGTTTTCAAGTAAATGGACTGATACATTTACATGATCCATTTTGACTAATAACCATTGAGGAAAAATGATTGATGGATTTTGATTGAACAATCTACTTAAGGAAAAAGCGCACTTTCAATGTACCTGTGGTCCATACGAACAGGTGTTGAGATAGTTTTATCTTTCATCATTCACGCATGCTTTGTATAAGCTGACTTTATTGTATGTTACCTAATTTTTAATATTTTAAAAGTATGTTACCATTTCTCATATATTTCTTAATATTGTAAATGAATGCGTAATTCAACCTTTGGCTGCAATGTTTTTCAAATAAACTATCTATACAAAGTGACTCATGTTGTACTTACAAACTGTCTTTTAATATCGATACAACAATTACTGGAGGATTGATTTTTGCTGCAAATATTTTGGATCTTAATAACAGAAGACCAAAAAGCTCTCTAGGGCAAGCTACTTAAATGCTGTTTAGCAGACAAAAACAAACCAATTTTTCAAGAAAACTGAACTTAAATATATTGTGCTGATAATAGTCCTATCTGACGAAGACAATATGTGAAATTTATCCAATAATCATAAATATTGGAAAACACTTTTCAATAATATGAACAGGTAAATGATAAAAAAACTGGGTTTTTTCTTATTTTGGAAATCAAATTGTTTAAAACAACAAACATTATCCGAATGATTTCATAACTTCTACCAGAATTGATTAATTTCTTGTCTTGTTTTGTTGTCAGAAAAAAAAAAGAAAAAAAACAGCCAACCAATATTAACATGTAGTTAAATCTGACATCACAATACGATAAACAGGGTCATAAATTTATTCACGTCTGCAAAGCTGTAATATTTCATGTTTCTGGAAAACATTTAGGTGTGCCAAGGTTGAGTGTTCTGCAGCATCATGAAAAAGCATGACATTTTATATAAGGTGAACTGAGGTGAATATTTCGCCAAGAGTTTGGGTGACAATTTAGAAAAAATTCTCTCTTATGATCCTCTACAAGTTGCTATTGTTATCAAACTTTAATGATCCTGAATGACTTCTTTGCAAAATTGACTTCTTCGATTCAGCCAAGGTAACGCAGTGTGCATCTCAGAATATACACAGTTTGACCCAGGTACCATATTTTAGATATCAAACTATGCAGCTTTGTAAACATTAGTAAATTCTTGAAAATGAACCACCACACAGTGGTTTCAAGTTGGTCTTCGCTTATTACGTGTTTATTAATTTTCCTGTGCCAGGCACAGTCCACCTGCTGTAGGGAATTTAAACATAAATTTTACTAAAATTCTATCTTTTCCGAAAAATGGTATTGTCAACAACGTGTACCGATCCGATATTGAAAGCCTTAAGTGGCATCCTACGTTGTATTTTTCCTTTTTCTTGTTTCTATCGACAATGTGGCCAATTCCGATCTCAATTTCTAGAAAAGGGATAAAATATTTCAGTTCTCGATTTATGTACCAGCACAATTTAATATTTGTCGACTTGTCGAACAAAATCTTTGTTTTCTATTTTGTGATAAGGTTAAGGCCTGAAATTACCCACAAATTTCGCCTCCGGCTGTAATATTCGGTGTCAATAATTTTGCATGAACAAAAAAATATCGATGCGAATAAATTCATCGATCGTTTTGGGAGTCCCTTTATACTATTAGCTAATTGTCAAAACAGCACACCAAATGTTGGCCGGTCCAAAATGTCCTTGGGTTAAATCAAAATATAACATGACGAAATATTTGCAAAACAGTACGAATATTTTGTTGGTACTCGAAGGGTAACTTGGTTTATAAAGTCGCAAAGCAGTACAGACAAATATTAAACAGATTATTCCTGTTGTTATTTTCAAAATTCAAATGTCACCAGGCTCGAAGCTCTTAAAACGGAAGTCAACTTGCGAAGTGGAAGCAAACACAGAATGAGATCAGATTTCCGAATTTCGAAAGTCTCTAACATTCATATTTGGAGAGAAGATAATTTGTGAAATTTTCAAACCATACGACTGTATAAGCTTACCGTGATTTGTGTAGAAGCGTGCTGTTGCACTTTTGAAAATGATTTGAAGATCAAAATCACATGGTTGGCATCATAAAAAGGAAAAGGTCCACGTGTAAATCAAGAAGTTCTACAGTTTAATTCTCGATATTGGGACAACAAAATTCGAAGACTTCTACGCAGGACTCCCTTTAAATAAACTAAACTGCCCAAACGTTCGTTCCAAAATGTAACACCTTGTTAATTTCCCACCTGAAATGTAAACAACAACTGTGAGCTTGTTGGTACCTTCAGTTCGCGGCTTATTTCTCTTTGTTCCAGAACTTTAATCCCGTTTCAGACGAATCGTGACGACATCTTCGCTAGCCGGTTTCGGCTTCCCTGGTGACGGCTTGTAGAAAGTATTCGTCGATCGGGCGCGCAATTTTCGAAACCCAAACAAGTTTACTTTTCCCACTTCGGATTACTAACTTTGACTCTTCGAAGACATGCCGGTTTCATCTCCAAAATCAGAGCGCTCCTTCTTGAAATCCGCTGATACTCGAACCTTGAAAGTTCTAGGTTCAAATATCAAACGAGTGATGTAACGCTCTAGTTACTTAAATATAAAAATATCACCCTTAACCACATCCTACGCATCCGTAGCCTAAAGTGACGGTCACGGCGCACGTTAGCCTTCGCGAGTGTTGTGATCATGTATTCGCGAGTCATTTAAGAATTAACCAATTGGAGCGCAGTATTCGACCACCCTGCCAACACTTCTCTATTGTCTACGATATGAATGTCTCCAGCTCCAGTCATTTGCATTCTGACGACTTTCTGAAAAGAGTGTACTTGATCGAGTATCAGTCGAATGTCAAACACATCTGACAGGAACGCTCTTGAAGTCCATTTGAGGCTGCACGAAATAGAAATAAAATGTCAACATTGTACATTCTTGAAGAGCATAGGAAACATAGAGACAACGCGAGTTACATGCCTTACCATTTCATTAAATTGATCTCTTAACAAATTGCACTTTTTTCACGGGATTTAGGTCCAACTCTAAAACAATATTTGCCATGTTACAATTTTCCTGTAGCTTAAATACTAGTTTGTAAACTGTTTGAAGCGAAATGATACCACAAGTAACGACATTCAAATTAAAGGCGTAGATTTCGGACAATAGCCATTGGTCTGAAACTCATGCAAAAAAAAAAAATGTGTTTAGCCGAATGGCAATCAGTGCCTCTTTCAACTATCACAATGCCTTCCGTTTTGCTCCTAAACTTAACTTTAAGGCGGAAATTTATCAAACACTTTAAAAGAAGACAAAAGAAGGATAAAAGAACCATAATTCGTCGCTGACTGTGCGTATTGTTCGCTTAATGGTTCAGTAGGCATGGCAAAAATCTCAACTTGATGGAAACATTACGAACGGTACTTTTACTGATGATGGGGAGTTCGCCGTAAAAGCGCCAATATAACACAAAAGGGAAAATGATACAGCTCACCACAAATTGGGATCTTCTCTTTGTTTGATGAAATTAGTGTTTTCTTACCTAGTAAGAACAATTTAAGATGTATTTCTATTGTGGAAAAAGACTAGAGCAGTTTCAACCGAAAAAGCAAAAACGTCTTTGTAGCAAAGGAAAAAAATAGCATCATTTCTGTAACAAAGACATGCTGCTTTGCAGACTTACTTTCGGCCAGAAAATGCACAGAGCTTCCTAGAATGGATAGCCACAGTCTTGGATTGACAAAGTCAGCGAAGCTTCAGAAAAGCTGGCGGTTAGAAGTGAATTCTTGAAAATTAGGAGGAGGGAGATTGAAGCTGGGTAAGAACCAATTGCAAGCTGATGTTTTAGATATCGTATCCTGGTTAAGATGAGAGGCAGTGACTCCAGTTTGCTGGAGTTTGCAGATTTTGCTTTTAAGTCCAGTGATGACAAACAGTAGAATTCTTTATAAACTGAAGTCAGTGTATCAGTTCTACATTTTCCCAAGTTTTGAAATAGGAGGTTGATTCCCGCAAAACGTGGCAAAGAAACGCTCCTACTGAAGCTTCTACAACAAGGGCCTGCTCCGCAGTGGTTAGAATAACTGTCCGCCAACTTGCAATGTTTGCTATATATTGCACTCCTCAGACGCGGTTTGTGGTTTACGCTTTCAAACTACCTACCATAAATTGCTTTGGAATAGATCAAATAATTTTGATATGTCCAGAGAACACCCTCTAGCAAATAGATACATCTATCTTTCACAACTCTCTTGGAGATCTTCTTATTTCAGAGGGGGAGGGGGAGGGGAAAGGAGGCAAGTGGACTCTTCTTGCATTTTCATGACAGCTGACAGTGAGTCTGTGAGCCAAGTTTCGTTTTTGCGAAAACGTTTCCGAAACAGAAGAAAGAAAGAGGACCATGCGCTGTTTACTTGAATGGTAATCAATTAGAGGATTAAAGATTGATACTGACTCCGAAACGAATTTTGAAAAGCACCAGCCCTTCACGATTCTGCTCTGACCAACACAAATTGCTAAGATTTGAAAACGGGTCAGCCTTATTCGAAACTCGCCACTGCGGTCTATCCATCTCTGTCAGCCAGTAGATTTGATGACAAACTCTCTTACCCGCCGGGGCAGCGCAACAGTTTCTTTTAGCTTAACCAATAACTTTGTTCTCATTGTCAGATTGGGCTAAGTAACCCCGCCTTTCACTCTCGGATAGATCTCGTTGGTGTTGTGAAGTTAGTTGTCCAGGAGGTAGATTTAGCCCCACGTTACGTTTCATGAATAGTGTGTCATGCCCTGCCGTCATTACCAAATTGATAAAAAATGTTGAGTATATTTGCGATGAACAACAGGTACAACATCACGGTCCTTATCATGGTTTTGGCCAGTTGTGTTCTTATTTGGGTTTTTTAGCATTTAGTGTTCTTGTTTGAGTGTCTCTTGGGCTTGGACCAACAACATAGTTCCTGTTTGCAACATAGTTCCTGTTAGCGTAGAATATTAGCGCTTTGTTATTCACTCCAACAAAGCTTGTCCAAATATTTGGATTAGTAATTCTACAGAGAGCTTTAAGATCGACAGGCTTAGAACCCAAAGGACGTGTATTTGACTTGAATAAGTTGGTTGATCAGTTCGCCGATTGAAGAAGAAAAACCAGGAGAAGAGTCTCGATCCCGGTCATGCTTGAGCGATCGTTCAAGAGCCAAACCCCAAAGTTAGTCCTAACATTAGTAATTCCGGCTTACTGTTCAGGCAATTTGGTACTGGTATTGGATCAGCTAATTGACCAATCCCCAATTGACATTTTTCTTTATTTTCCTCACTTTTCTGCTCGATAATGTATCGATATTGTTGGGAGAAATTCTGTCTTGGTCATTCATGGGAGTGATATTTGATAGGGTTGAGCGCGCTTTAGCCTAGGTAACCAGGCCTTGATTCGATCTCTCATTTTCTAAATGATTTGCCCAATATACGGAATTAAAATCCTTGATCGTTTCATCCTCTCTTGCCATGAGCTAGGTTTACTTATTTCAAATAATCCGGCTTGATTCAAATAGACATTTGGTGCGGCCCATTATGAACCACCTGCCAACCTAGCCTATCTGTATTGCCTAATCAGGGCTGAGACAATCTTTGCAGTTGATGTACCGCGGGCGGATTGGGCAACTATCTGTTCTGTACAGGAACAAGAAATCTGTGCGTGCTTGAAATTATATTTTTCCTTTTTGACGAGGAGTGTTCCTCTGAGCGTCAAATATGCCTGAGTGACCTGAGTGGTCTGACTCTGTGTTCAAGTGAGGAGGACAAATATCGTTCGTTTTTGGATTAATTGATGGCGCCTTTATTTGAGTACGAAAGCATGATGGATACAATTTGCTGTTTTAATAAAACTACCAAATCAATTAAAACGAACCTTATAAAGCCTGCCGTTTTACGTCGTAATTAATTTATTCCTAGGTTTAATCTGTAGCCGGACCACAGTCGACATCATTCTGCAGAAAATAAACCCAATCATATGATCACTTACCTTTAAAAATTTTTTATATTATTATTTTTTACAAGATCATTCAGATGGAAAACTTCACGGTATGAATGATAGTGATCCGCCTTTTTACAATAACCTATGGGTATCCGGACCCCGGGGGGCACTCGGTTAAACCTGTTAGACGAGACACGTACCACGTGACAGAAACGCAAGAAGACGACAAATGGACTAGTGTGATTTGATGACGATGACCGAAATTCTCGTCTTAAGGGGCACTTCTAGTGAAAAATAGCTCCCAGAATATAAAGGTGAGTAAAATATCAGTGTAATATGTGGATAAGTTTGAAAAAATCCTAAAGTTTCGGGATTCATGTCGAAAATTGTGGACTATGGTTTGAAGGTACGTCTGACGGTCTTTCGTGTCGCCTGTCAGATGGACAGACCTCAGGGGTGTAATGTTTGAAACACCTTACCCGAAAGCCAAATGAACACACTTTTCGTCACTTGATCCTCAAATAACAGAGGCTCAACAATATTTTGACATTCTTTGCGACTAACACGACTCCTTTCCCAATTTTTCGAGGTTTTTATGTTGCGATCCGATAGCAAATTAAGGCGAACTGGTAGATCATGATCTCAAAGACGCCATTTGTCCTCGAGCGGTGCGCGAACGTTAAACATCTCCTCTGTTCCTGTTTATCTGTATATTTTAGATCTTTTCGGGAAATCGATGTTAATAAAAAAAACATTTAGTTGAAACAAGTCTAAAAGTGGATACGATGTTCGATCGATGCTCAGGATAATGTTGTCTGTCTGAAAGACCGCTTCCAATGCATTATTTACACACGTAACTAAAACGATATTGTCGTAAATTTGAGATCGAAGAAAAATATAAGGTGTAAGAAATCTATACAGCTTTGAAATATCTTGCTTACGGAAATGCGTGGTTCTTGAGCTTTTAGTGATTCGTGAGAATTTCTAGAAGTAATTTGAATAATTTCGGAGCAGACAAAAATTAAAAGCTCTTTCACGGAGAGGGGGGGGGGGGGCAGGAAAATTACCCAATGTCGTTAATTTAGAAAGTAAGAACTTAATTTTTCAAATTGTAGTGAAACACAGCTCTATATTGAAAATTTAGATAAGATTGTGATGAGCTTGCATGGTTATATTTAGTTCCTATTTAAGGCTGATTTGCCCAAACCAGTGTTAGCAAGCTTGATTGAGTCTCATATGAGGAATTTATTGGTGTGCTAGCAAATTATTTGAAATTTTTATGAAGATTTGATTTTACAGTTTTCAAGTTAGGTCTTGCTAATGTACAAAATTTTCATTTCCCTTATTTTCTGTGCAGCAGTGTATCTTAAAATCTGAAAGGAAGTTGTTGACTGTGTTTTGATTGGTATCATTGTTTTGTTTTTAACCTCTCAAGCACAAAGTGCAAGCTTTTTTTAATCATGAGATAAGAATAATTACTTCCTGTGTCTACACAATATTTTGTGCTTTTCTCGCAGTCACTACAATTATAGCTATTAGGCATGCATGGCTGTGTTATATGATCCTAATTTTTCTATCAAATGTCAAAGAAAACTATCAATTTCAACAGGATCTTCTATGTTACACAAATAGCTTACCATCTAAAGTTTGCTCCCTGTGAGGATTCCAAAGGTTACCAAACTAGTAATAAAAAGATGTACTTAGTCTGCACTTATTTGCCTGAGTGAGTGACATCTAGTATTCAATTCAGACAGTAAACCACATGAATGCTCTCACACTTTGATCAGGTGTTGTGATTCATGACCAATTTTGACCTGTCCTTTACCTTTACACCCATACAAATGACTGTTATCTAATTTCTCTATGGAATATTACTACTGAATCAAATGATAAGATCATGATCATAAAGGGGAAAAAAAAGTTGTCAAATGTGAAACACATTCTTCTAGTCAGTTTATGTAAAATGTAAGGAGTTTGGAGAAAATACATGCCAATGCTAGAAGAAGAGCCAAGGGGTAATTATTTTGTTTTTTATTCCTCTAGCATTGTACTTTACTAGTGATAAGCTACAGTCAGAGGTCATTTCTCTCTCCAGATCTTAAAGCCTATTTCTCCAGCAGGTGATTATGCAACTCCTAGTTGGCAAGGCTATACTGTAAGGCATTATTTCCTAGTTGATTATATTCTGTATTACATCCATTTTGAAATCAAATTCTAAGAAAAGGAACGAGTGCCGGATGAATTAAATATTCATATGGATAATGGAAACCCTTATTTGAGGGATTGAGTTTTACAATTTCACAGTGGATGCAATACAGTGGTTATTGTATTTTGTGTCATGCAGTTTTGGTCAGAAAACATGCTTGTGATTTTAAATCAAACATTTGCTGGACACTCATTTGATTTTAAAATCTCATGTGTGATTCCAGACCAAATTGCACTCCACTTAGTTCAATTACCATTTCTTTGCAACACCAGTCCTCTTGAAAATAAAATCTATTATAATTATAATCATAGTCGCTTGAGTCATTAAATAAGATTATGACAGTTCCTTTGAGCACTTACAGATACACTTATAAATGTGAAGTTGTAATTTATTCAACCTTTCGGGAAGAAAACATGATTTTTCACCTTTAAAAACTTCTTTCGTATTTGTACTTATTAATTGCTTGAATACAAGTGGCAAATAATGGTTGACAAAATCTCCATTTCTACCAAACATTATGTCTGGGAAAAAGTATCAGCAATCGTAAGTGACATTAATTAAGATTCAGTGGGACTTGAGGTTGCTGGGTAGTAACTGTGTGATGGACTATCATCCAATCCAGGGGGCAGTACCAGGGTTGTAGTTAAGAAATTATGCTGATGGGTGAAATTTCAAGTGAGATGGCTCAAGGTGGTGAACGATTGTAAGTGTGTAACCTCAGAAGTGCCTGTTGTGCTTTATCAAGTGATCGCTGGCCAAAAATCCAGCTGGCGATTGCCGCTTTTTCATTGTGCAAATTTTGCTGGCGGTCAACACTTAGTAGCAACCTTGTAGTACTAATATTCCTGTTTGCTTTATGCTGCTAAGGTAAGCTCTAGTTGGATGGGGCACTGGACTCTAGTGCAGACTTCACCTACCTTTTTTCTATGAATAGGTGTTTATTTGGATTTTATCAGTTATACAGTATACAGTACCAGTTTCTTTTAACCTTTACAATTTTGTATAAACCTTGCAAGTTTGTTGTGGGTAATTGCAGGTGACAAGAGGAGCCCACAATCCTAATCTCAATTTTGCTTTTACAAATACATGCATGGCAGTTGTGTAGTTTGGCCCCGACTTGATTTTTGCTCAATTCGTGAATCTTCCACTAAGAATGTATGGAATGCAAAGAACACTATTTTCTCACTCACATCATGTGTAATTTGGACCTTGGTTCACAGCATTCGCTGATGTGTTGCAGAAACTCCTCAACCAGGATAAAGAATCTAACCTAATGTCTGACCAAATCTCAGAAGCTCAGTGCTTTCAATAGAGAATGGTACAATGCTTGTAGATGCAACATCGAATTACATCAAAGACATTGTAAAATTTGAGTAACTTTACTTACAGTGACACTAGACAGTTTCAATTTAGAACCTTCATGTACAATTATATTGAAAGTATTTGACAGTGTAACACTCAAAACTAAAAGCAGTTTGTTGTACATCAAAACATGTCCCAAAAAAATAAGTCAACCGTACAAATGTCACTGGCAAACACTCTCTCCAGTAACTACACAGTTGCATTTGATTATTCAGGTATACAATAGAGTTTGAATTTTTACACAGCATTTAGTGTGTGTAACAATACAGCCGTTTGGTTTCAGTTTTTACAATAACATTTAGTGAATATGCTTTCATTTGTTTATACAAAAATTTTACAATACAGTTGTTCCGTTTCAGTTTTAATATTCATCGACAAGTTTAACATGTCACATCTTAAACTTTTCCTCAAGGAAAACATTAAACTTGTTACATTATATTGGATTGTATCAAGCAACATCACAAAAAATTATGACATTAACCATAGAGATGTGACTGCCAAAAACTCAGGAACTAAACAGTAGCATTTGATAATTCAGTTATAGTTTCAGTTTTAACAAAGCATTTAGTACATGTAACAATACAGTCATTTTGTTTCAATTGTTATTCAATGTAATGTTAAAGTATTCTCACAAACAAACATTTAGCTTTATTTATTATATTGTGGAATAACCTGAAATTTCTTCATATATTAATTGGTTGTTTCGTTTCAGTTTACATACAGTTAGTAACATTTTAAACTATGCACATCAACAAGTGCCTTATTTGTTTGATTTTATTGTTCTTCATTCAAATGACATCTCTACTGTTTGCATGTTATGATTTTAAATATATAATTGTTGCATTGCATCAATCATTTTGACTCGATCAATATGCATATTTTATATTATTAACCTAGAGTGATATTCTTTACACCGTGAAACAACAACAATTACAGCATAAACTAAGCAAAACAAAACAATGGGACAAGTGTCTCCTGGAATGATCTAGCGTTGGTAACTTTTTCACAGGTTTAGTAAAATCACTCTGTTAGTGTTAAAGTAGAGGAAAAAGCAAGTGGAGCATGGGAGGGTGTCCTCATGGACTAAAATTTCAACCCCACAAAACAAATCCTTTTTCGCTAAGGGCCCCCAAATCTTTCATTAACCAAATAGCCAAAAAAGGATCATCCTTGCCCACTTTTCCTAACCTTTGGTTATTACTAGTAATTATGTATCATTATTAATTAAGAGTTCTACTTAAATATGTTACACAAAAATATCAAAATAACAGTTAAAAGCATCAGATCATATTTTTGTTTTGTCTGTTTAAAGTGGAGACGTGATTGGACATTTCTCAAACAATTAGTTGTATCAGTGCATTTTCTTGTTTCTTTTGTCTCTAAGTAAGGAGAATTGGACAAATTTCCAAGCAGTACATTTGTATGCCTCTTGATAACATGCAAATTGCCAAGTTCCACATGCTTTGCATGAACAACAAATGTTCTACCAAAGAAGATCTTCATGCACTGTACTTAAATCAAAGATAAGTTTTGCGGTCATCGGTTGGATATGAGTAATTGAGACCAATTATTCACATTGAACAGGTCTAGTAACAGAAGATTTTTGTTCTTTGTTATCTTTTTTTAATTTTATTGGCCACAGATTTGGTGGACATATATATTGGGTTATGAATTTGAGCCACTTTACAAATGTATAACCGTTACGGTATATAATGTATAGCACTATACAGCGGTAATTTTTTTTGCCGTTTGACATAACTGTGTCAATTTTTTTTTTCAGTTAGTGCTTGATAAGTCTGCAAAGTTTTCCTGTTAGGGATGAGTATGGGCCTTAAGCATGTCAGATCCTCGATACCGCAACAAACATCGATCGCTTTGGCCCTCCCGACGAGTCAGCACAAGGCTATCTACATCCCAAGGCACGATACATTATGATACAGCACATCATTATGACAACTCATCAGCTGTTACATCATCTGCTAATGTAGAAATTCCTGCAGACACTGTTATTGTGCATCTTCCTGGAGTGACTTCTCCTAGAGGCTCTGCCAAGGATGGACATGAAGGTGAATAAAATTCTGTTGTATTTTTTAACTCTTGGTAAAAAGATTTCGTAGAAATACACAGCATGCTTCACGAAGAGTAATTATTCTTGCATTGAGTTGTCATTTGTTACTTGCACTATTTTCTTTTTTCTTTTTGGTCATTCTGAATACTCTTAATAGTAAAGTAAGTAAAGTTTTTTTACGAGCCTAGTGGCCCATTAGGCCGGTGCTTAACTCCGGTTTCTGTAGAATGAAGCGACTAGGAGTATTTTTACCCCCCCCCC